TGCATTGCTTGCGCATAGATTAACAAACGATTGCGTGCATAAAAATGGAACACAATTTATATTCTGATATTTTATAATCAATAATTGAATCAAATAATTTCACTTTTGACTATATGACTTTTTTCTTCAAAATTATCTATAAAATGTAATGTATTTGAATCTCAAAGATCTAAAAGGTGCTTTAAACAAAATCTTTTTATTTGAAATATTAGAATTGTAAAATTTTTAGTTTTAACGAAATGCTGCATTACGAATCATTATGCGCGCGTCGCAAGGAGAATACACAAAAATATCTTGATTTCTCATTCTGTTTCACAACAATGCATAAAATACAGCGAACAAATTTTCTAGCCTTTGTTTATAATATTAACTTGTACAGTTTGTATAGAGTTTCATTGAAAATGTTCTCATCTTAATTGCTGTATTCCCTTTTTAATGAATTCATATTATACATTTTATTGTTTCCCCGTGTCTCCTTTAGTCTATCAAAGACTCTTGTTTCCAAAATATTAACGTTCATATATTTAAATGGGTCACTCCATATGACGTTCATAATCTGCTTGTTCCTTTATGTTTCCTTTTTTCTTTTATATTTTGCAAGAAAAAGAAGATCAAATTATCAAATTTATATACTATACTATATTATTTATTACTATCCTGTCTAAATAAGCTCTGCGCATACAACCACTTAATTGCTGCTATTTAGTCAGAATGGACTGTAAATTAACCGTTATTATTTACATTTATGATCTTCGGTATATCTACTACTCTTAGCAAAGTACCATTCAATCGAATAATTTAATTCGATTGTCTTCCTTCTCTAAATGACAGTATGATATAAGTCTTCTTTCTACAAAATGTTAACAAAAGAATCTGGTAATTTCAAAATAGTTTTAGTAAAACTAATTTACCTGAAAATGAATCAATGTGTAGTTAATAAGATAATTATTAATTTCGAATACTGTACTTAAACTTTGCATATGTTTATAATATACCTTTATTAAATTGTATGAACTTTTTCAGTTGGTTTTATTTAGAAATACAATTTCTACAGCCTATAGATCAAAATACTACTAAAGCTAAATTCTCCCCTCTGTAATGTATGAGAAAAATTCATAAAAGTACATAACATTTAATATAGCCTATTAAAATTTATAAAAATTACCAGGAAGGCTATACTACTTTTATGCAATTTTGATGTTTCGATTTTATAAAATCTTTCTAGAACAAACTCTTCCTTCTCTGTAACTATGAAGCTGGTTTTATATGCTATTGAAGGAATTAAACAGAGGATATGAGGTATTTAAAGAAAGTACATAAAAATATTATAAAAACCATTCGATATTGATGTGGCTGCTTTCAAAGTAATAGTTGCATGGATTTTCCATTTTTGAAAGGTCTTTTTGAGGTATTTTTAGAAAGCTACTGTATTACAATATTTCTGACGTAAATATAATTGGCGGAGGAATTATTTGTATACATATTAAAAATAGAACACAATTTTTTGGTATTACATATTTGAACAAAATATAGTATTAAAAAAATTGACGATATTTGAATTGAATAGTGACAAAATAATACTCTTACCTTTGCAATAATTAAAAAATAATATAATCTTCATTTGTATGGGAGAATGATGAAAATATTAAATGGCATAAGAAAATGTCGAAACACTTTTAATATAGTAAACGAAGAAGATGATGACGGAGATTGCCGAGTCTCATAATGTCGAGTTAGGCTCACGATGAAGATTTCAAACTAAATTTAGTAAATGTAAATATTATTCATTTCGCAACATTGATTGAAGGCAAATAATATTTCACAGTTATGAATGATTAAATTCTATATTAAATGTACATTTGCAATGAAAATAGAAATTGTTTTCCAGCCGAAAAACGATTAAAAGTAGAGTAATTCTTGCAACCGTAATTAACAAATACATCGGAAAGAAAAGAGTTAAACATTTAAATTGCTTCATTTTTAGGGATATTTGAATTCTTTAATTTTCATATTCTGCCTTCTGTAACAAAAAACATGGATATTAACTTTTATATCAATATTTCATTCATACATGATAACAATTATTGGTGTATTTGCATTGTATTTACATTCTACAGAAAAAGAATAAGTGTTATTGTTCAAGATTTTATTTTTGATTAAATGTTGATTAATCCTTCAGTTAGTTTGATCTAAAAGATTAATGCTTTAAAAGTAATAGATACACAGCGAACCCTACCATTCTTTGAAAAAAATTATCTATACATAGCTGTAAATTGAAATTGTCAATTGTGAACATAAGAGCATGTTATTGCTATTTCTTCCGTGACTTACTAAACACTCAAATGTGTTTGCAATACGTTTTTGAAACATCATTTCAATGAAATAATAATAGTAATGTTGTGTTTATTGCATGCTACATGATACAGCTCATATTAACATAAAGTAAGAGACGATGTGGGTAATGAAGCAAAAACGAGGTAAAAATAAAATGAACTGGAGGTAACAGTATTCTATAAAATGGATTAACCTAAAAAACAATAAAATAAAATACGACTAGCTACAGTGGAACATACACGAATGCAGTTATTAAACCAAAACTTAAATAACGGATGTCTATATCTAAATACTATATCTCAGTTTACCAAATATAGACTAACGTTCAGTAAAATGTGAAAATTTTGGTTAATTGTAAATGTAACAGTGGATCAAAATATTTTTAATTTGTTGTGCAAATAAAATGACAATAGGGACTGCTAAAAATTTTCATTAACCTTTAGTAGACCCTGAACATTTACTATATAGAACATCTTCAAAATGATCCAATTCAAACAAAACTCGACATCATTTCAACACGTTGTTGCCAAGGGAATCTTAAGCTTTTACATATACCCATATCACTCCTTTTTCCATAACAAAAATGAATAATATGAAACAACGATTTCTAATTATTTGCTATTATATTTATTACGTTATTATTTAATTATTCACGTTATGAAACATTTTTATTCAACCTCAATCGTTTCATTATAATAGTTCCAAGCAATTTTAAAATTCCGATCATCAGTGGTGTAGCAGCTAACGTATCAACACCATCAAAACCAACATCACATATTACTGACTCTCGGTATTTGTATCTTGTGTAAAAAAATCAAGTACTGTCACGTGTGTTTTTATGTACAACCATAACTCATGGTGGAATGTGTAAGAAATTAACGAGACTTTTTCATGACTTTCATGTCTATTATATAAAGACGATTCGTTGCATTTAACAAAATATTATAACTATGAAGATTGCTACTGAAACAAACACGTGGTAACCCTTTATGCCACATAATTATCTATTCAAAAGTGTTTAAAGAAACTTTGAAATATCGCAGTAAAATACAAATTCAAGGTACAATAGAAACATTAGGTATTTGCAAATCGCAAACGCTTCGTTGAAAAGGGTTAATCGAAACTCTTCTCCGTTTGGCGCACATTTCTTTCCGATATTGAAAATCGTTCGCACGGCCGTAGTCAGTCCGTGGTCCCTGGGTCACCCTGTATACGACCCGCTGAAAATAGAGCCGGCGTGTACTCTAAGGTCATCGATCCCTCTTCCGCGTCACCTGCCATGCCTACACCTTCTATCAAGGCGCGAGCGTGTAGCATCGCGCGACAGACCGCTAGAAAATCCGTCCTAACGGTCGTAGAATCGGTAACTCTCGTCGACAATGGCCGGCCGTTCGGGACCAATTCGAAAAAGAGTGCTCGGTGGAGCGCGCGCGCGCGCGCGCCTCGCTGAATTCCGATCGGGTGGTGGAGACGAGCGAAAGACTCCGCGAGGGAACCGATGATTCGGCCGACTTTACGGTGCCTATCTCTGCCGGCAGAGGTTCACACGTCGCGTAATGAGAGCGGAATGTCTACCGAGATATCGATACGCTTCCCACGCTATTGGCGAGCGAAGCGGTAGCGTATCACGGACTTCTTTTCCCTCGATTCAAGAAATCTTTCGAGAAACAATTTCGATCATCCTCATTGGGCTTGTCTTTAAAGGTCCGGCCGCTCTGGGTGTCATTGACCCGGGACTATTCGCCGCGTGCGTGATTCATTCCGATCTACCCGATGCCCGGCAATGAATCATACGTGAGAAATTTGTACGCGAAAATGCGTATCAGGAAGTCTTCGGGATGAGAGTGGACTAACCGTCCGTTGCCTCACCTCGTGCGTACGCGAAAAAGACCGATATCCGCGTGCACGAGACTGCGGAACGCTCGACGAGACGACGTGCATGGCGTGGTGTGGCCGCGTCGTGGCGTGGCGTGGTCGCTCGGTCAGGGTAGGGAGAAAAGACCTTGAGCCGCGTCACGTGACCGCGAAGGTACACCGTAGTTGGGTAGGGCGGTTGCAGAGGGCCTTGACCTTACCGTCGGCGTCGCTGCCATAGTTATAGCCAGCATCGTCGTGGCCTCTGCGAACCTCAACAAGAGGAGAGCCAATATACAGTCTCGCGACGCTCGATCTTCCTATAATTATGGTCATCCGTGACAGTCCTAGCTGTCGCGACTCCTCGACCGATTTGCTCGAATAAAGGTTTCCAGTGATTTCTAATGTGGCTCCGACTGAACACTGTTCCCGTTAGGAGAACCCATTGCCTCTCCTATAGAGCCTCGGCTGGGGCTGCGTCTGCCTTTGGACGCGATTAATGCCATTAACGTGTCCAGTCGGTATGACAGAAACACTGCCCGCCGTCATTCGGCGATGTTCCCGTTTTGCTCTCGTTTTTCCCGGTTGTAAACGCGGAATACGGAAACTTCCGTCTTTCCACGGGAAGATCGTTTGGTTCCAGGGGGCCGGAAGTGGACCGGCCTTGCTGAACAACCGTTGACAGACGCGTTTACGTAGTTCCTCCATTCACGATAACGATCTTGTTTCCAGTCCTTTATTTTTTCGATTATCACCGTTTCGTTGTCGTTCTGATCGTTGAGTGATCATCCCCTTTGATTCTCTGATTGCAGACGCGGCCGTGTTCTTCCATGTTCGAAGGGGAGCGAGAGTAAACCGAGCCAGGAGTTGACGTCAAAGTCGCTGGGACCGAGTGCCGCAACTAGATAGATTCCGCCCAGGATGCCGCAGGGTTTCGCGACCATCCAGAGGGTCCGAGTCGCGTCACGAGCGTGCTGCAGCGTAACCAGCTGAGGATGTCGGAGCAAAACGGGCCCAACGAGGGCCCCAGGCCAGGTCCAGGACCGGGTCCTGGATGGTGGCCTACCTCACAGTCTTGGAAGACGAGCTCCGTCGCGTCCGCTTCCTCGTCCACTGGATCCACTGCTCCAGACAGCTCCGCCTCCGTCTCTGCGTCCTGCACCGCCTCTACCTCCTCCCTGGCAACTACCACTTCGGTTACTCCCTCATCCAGCTGTTGTTCCTCGACTCCCGGCGGACATTCGTGCACCATCACCCCGGCCCGCACCTCCGAGACGGGCAAAAACGTTTCCGTCACAACGATCAACGTGCCGCCCAATCAAAACTTACACGATGGTAATTGCCTTTGTAGGTCTCAGCCGACGATTAACCCCTTGTGCCCTGAATCGTTCTTATTTTTCGCTGAGTTCTTGCGACGGCTTAAGTAACACGTGCCCACTCGTTGTGTACGCACGGTGATACTTGGTAGGAAATTAAACTTTTTTCATTTGACCTTACTCGGTTTGTAGTTTCATTTCAGTAAGAATACCTTAAAGCACCTTCAAGGCATAAAGGGATATAAAACGATAAGCAATGAAAAAAGTATAACTATTTGTAAAGCTGTCTAATATATATATTAGATAGATAGATAGATAGATAGATAGATAGATAGATATATGTTCTAGCCACTTACAGAAATCATTGTTATTTTAGGAAAAGGTATTTGCAAGTACCTTACCGGCCAAAATGGCGTGACAGTGTCGGTAGTTTCGAGCTGCGGATCCGTTCTTGGATGCGGGAACACGAACGTGGTGTCCACATCAGGTATCGGGACTAGCACAGGCACCCATAGCATTGGCATTGGGATTGGGGTCGGCGTATTGGGCCAGAACTCCGCAGAGAATGACGCCGAAGATAGCGACGGCGAAATAAGCAAGATTGATTTTCGAGGAGTCAATTTACGGACGAAGAAGAAACGAGATGTATCTGGAAGTGGTGAGAAAATTGGCGATGGGGACGTCGAGGATGGAAACGGCTGCTACGACGCGAACGATGTCTCCCAGCAGCAACCGGAGAGGCCCATGTCCTGGGAAGGAGAACTGTCCGATCAAGAAATGTCTTCCAACACGATTACAAACCAGGTGAAGATCGTATGCATGATTGTTGATCAGTAGTAAAATGTGCAAGTTCTGTATCTTGAACTAAAATAATTTTTCCTTTGCAGGACACCCACGAGGAAACATCGATGGAAGGTGTTCAGGTTTGCGGCTCGAGCCCAGGGCCTATGGAACAAAAGTTTCCTATAAAACCGGAACCAGATTTCCGATCCAGCCCGGGATTTACGTTAAGTTCCTTCCACGATGCAGGAGTATCTTTGACCCATGGTCAACAGATGCAACAGCAGCAGCAACAGCAACAACAACAGCAACAACAGCGGAACATAGAGAATATTGAACAGTCACAACAAAGTGATTTACCTCTTCTCGTAGGGAAACTGCTCGGCGGTTACAATAGCTCCACCCCTAATCACAGTCCCGTGTTGAATCCGAGACATCACTTGACTAAGCACAGTCACACGAGATCTCAGGTACAGCAAGTGAACTTACAGACAACTGCTGATATCAATAAAGCGTCGATCTTCTTAATAAATCTCACATAGTTGACTGATAATTTAAATGGATTGTAAGAAAATGTCAAATTAAATGAAATTTTCAAAACTTTGGGCTAGAATAGACATAGGCACTGCTGTCGAAATATTAAAATTCATTGTACAAATTCTTCTATTACGGTGTTATACAGGTGCCGTCTCCGGATTCCGCGATCCACTCCGCGTACAGTGTGTTCAGCTCTCCAACACAAAGTCCCCATGCAGCTCGGCACTCCGCTTTAGGATCGGGCAGTCCAGTTCCATCTTCATCGTTGTCACTCTCCAGGCATAGCTTCAACAACTCAACTTCCTCGTTGTCATTATCACTGTCGCATTCGCTCTCGAGAAACAACTCGGACGCCTCCAGCAGTTGCTACAGCTACGGCTCTCTCAGTCCGCCCACGCATTCTCCCGTCCAACAACCGAGGCATCCGCAGCATCACCAACATCAGGTAGCCCAAGGAAGTCCGCTTCATCTACCGGCTACGGCCTCATCCAGCGTTCCCCATCATTACTCCTCCTCCGTGCCCGGCTCCGAACTTTCTCCCGAAGCACATCCCACCGGAGACGACCAGGAAGATTGTCGAATACCGTCGGCTCCTTCTGGTATTTCTACCAGACAGCAGTTAATCAATAGTCCCTGTCCAATCTGCGGAGACAAGATCAGTGGATTCCATTACGGAATCTTTTCTTGCGAGTCGTGCAAAGGATTCTTTAAACGCACCGTCCAGAACCGGAAAAATTATGTGTGCCTTAGAGGCGCCGGTTGTCCGGTCACCGTCGCCACCAGAAAAAAGTGTCCAGCATGTCGGTTTGACAAATGTCTAAACATGGGTACGTTATAATTTGTATTGTTCAGAACACAATAAGAACCCATTCCATGTTCGTAAAATGCATTTTATGTAAACTATTCCCGGTAATAATACTGAATAATTGGTTTGCTACCGTTTCTTCTTGCTATACAAGACTATAAATTATTGTAGCATCCAAAGATTAGTATCTCGCGAGCAAATGATAGGTTCTTAGTTCTAACAAATGTATCACGAACATAGTTCAATTTATCATCTTCTACAGGTATGAAACTCGAGGCTATCAGAGAGGATCGAACTAGAGGTGGAAGAAGCACTTATCAGTGTACCTACACTCTTCCAGCGAGTCTGGTCGGTAGTCCTGCCAGTGGTATGGCCGGCGACAAACTAGGAGCTGGTGGAAATTGTAGTCCAGCTCCAGCTGGTAGCGAGCATCATTACTCCGTTAGGCATCACTCAAATCATTCGCACAAGATGCAAGTAGTGCCGCAACTTTTGCAGGATATCATGGATGTGGAACACTTGTGGCACTACAATGATAACGATCGAATGTCTGGTGTACAACCAGGAGGGGGGAACGTTTCCAGAAACAACGAAGCTATGTTGTTAGGAGGAGTAGGATCTGGAACAGGAAATGAAGCTGGGTCAGGGGTCGAATGTTCTTCCCGTGGAACTGCGGCGAATGGGAATTTAAATAACAGAAGAGATGACAGGTCGTGTTCCAATGTATCTGGTGTTAATAATGACCAACGAGCTGCGCCTATCAACAGCAATTCTCAAATAGGGAATAACGCAAATGGCAATCCTACACAACATCCCGATTTCCTTTCAAATCTCTGCAACATCGCAGACCACCGACTCTACAAGATAGTGAAATGGTGTAAAAGTCTACCATTATTCAAAAATATCTCCATCGATGATCAAATTTGCCTCTTAATCAATTCCTGGTGCGAGCTGCTGCTCTTCTCATGCTGCTTTCGGAGCATGAGCACTCCCGGTGAAATCAGAGTGTCTCTCGGCAAGTCGATTACTTTGGAACAAGCTAGACAGCTTGGTTTGGCGACCTGTATTGAGAGGATGCTCGCGTTTACCAATAACCTGAGAAGACTCAGAGTGGATCAATACGAATACGTTGCGATGAAGGTAGCTGTCTTAGTAAATACAGTAATGGATGGTGAAAAGATTAAATTATGAGGAAAAAGCAACACATCTTTTAAATAATACTTTGAATGCTGATCTTAATAATTAATGATTAATAATGTCACAAATCATTGAAAATCTTTTTAACTTCCATAAAAAAATATATAAATAATTTCTTTAACTGAGTAATTAATGTATAATTGTATTTAAATAGGTAATTGTACTGTTAACCTCTGACACAAGTGAACTAAAAGAACCAGAAAAAGTAAGAGCATCTCAGGAGAAAGCTCTCCAGGCATTGCAGCAATATACCATAGCAAGGTACCCTGAGATGCCTGCCAAATTTGGCGAATTATTACTGAGAATTCCAGACTTACAAAGGACGTGTCAGGCAGGGAAAGAATTGTTAAGCGCCAAACGTGCGGAAGGAGAAGGCAGCTCGTTCAACTTGTTAATGGAATTGTTAAGAGGAGATCATTGAATCTTCGCCACAAAAAAGAACATAGCCGTAAGTTCAGACATTGCTAAAAGTATTAATCTGTGAATAATTATGACGCAATCGGCAAATTCTATGTCATTTATCCGCCGTTGTGCTTTAAAAAGTGATCAGACATTCGTTGGATACAGGTTAGGCAATATTAATTAACAGAATTTAGAATTTGTTTTCTCTTTGCAGATTCCACGCTTATAGGGTCCATAAGCTTAGGGAATCGGATACGTTAGATAACCAAGAAGCGGACAGAATTAGAAAAAAAAATTCATAAACATTACGGTCCAAGATACATTAGTGGTGGGTGAAGGGACTACATTCATATAGGACTAATTAGAAGGCAAACTGCTTGACGCGTCAAGCAAAAACGAAAAACGACGTTTTTCTTTCTTATTTTGTTTTTTATTATTATTATATATATATTTTTTTTTTATTAAAATGCTTCCATGCGGGTGTCGCATGACGCGAGCCTGCTCAACAAACACACGAATTTCGAAGCGGCCTATGGTATGCTCGAAATGTCCAGCATGCATATATTTCTATGCGAAAGAGACTGAAAGTATAATCGATGGAGAGATGCAGAGCATTTTACTTTACGATAATAGCAATGTACAGAGATCGACGGATTGACAGAAAGGGAGGAAGGGAATGAAAGGAATAGAGAGAGCGAGAGAGAGAGAGTGAGGGAAAAAGACAGAATGAATGTGAGAGAGTGAAAGTGAGAGAAAAAGAGAGAGAAAAAGTCGATATCATGTAGCATAAAAATGCTAAATTTTATTAGATAGGTTTGGTCTGTTTGACCAATGAACGACGAATAACAGAGTTTTACCCTTAATGATTATTCTAATGATAAAACAACCAGTATTTTGTATCGTTCTGCGCTTACTTAAGAATGAGACACAGAATGATGTCTTGTATCCCGGTAATGAAGTGTACTTAAAAACATGAGTCGACCAATTGTTTACTTATAGTGCAGTTAATCATGTAATAATTAGTAGTTATTAACGTCTAGCTACCATAGTGTTCACGGAACATTATGGGTTTTTATCTGTCACGTAAATACATCTCTTTTTTTTTTATTTTCCGTATGTTTTAACGCCGCGCCAACGACGGATGGAAGATTTTTCTACGTCGACGACAACGTATGTTGTCTGTTGTTTTAATCGCACGAGGAACATTCGCTTACGGATTTCCTTATTTTGTAAATAAATTTTAT